ACTGCCTCGCGGTTCTTGTTAAAACTCAATTTGTCATCAATGATAGCGCCCAGATACTTGTAGTTGTCCACCCTTTAAACAGATTGCTCCTTAGTAACTGTGATCATGAAATAAAAACGAGTGACTGCATAGTATTAGATAGGAGCAAAAAAAGCAAAGGCAAATCTATTGCTATGTGGCCAGAGTAGTAAGTACAATTTACTTCAGTTGTTTAAAGGGGTCATAGAATGATTATATTGGGTATTTGGTGCTGGTCCTTAAGGTCTCTGAATAGAGTGTGTAACATTGGTCGGGCTGAAAATGGCATATTTGCTGTTCCCTAATGCAAGCCTTGTTAAAAGGCTCGCTGTGTGCTGATTGGTTGGTTTACAACGAGCAATACTGCTGAGCAAAGACGCATCATAGCAACAAGCAATAAGGCCTTATCGGGTAAGGCAGGCAGGGGGAAGCATACCCTCACTGGGTCTGGTTCGGTCGCTCTGTCCCCAGCTGACTCACAGCCCTGTTCACCAGGTTTCCCAGACCAGCCCTGGAGCTGGTCCTCTTTTCCAGAAACCAGCATCTGGTCACCATAGATATGCAAGCATTGCTATCAACAGCTTAGCCACAAAATAATGCTTACAGCTTGTGGTTGTGATGGCCTTACGGTCGGAACAGCCACTCAGTTCAGTAAAAGAAGTTTAGAAAACCTGCTTTGAACTGTCAAAGATTTTGAAAGCTGTTAAAATTCTGTAAAATTCTTCGAGCAAACAAACAGCTGAGTTTCAAACTTCGCAGAGATTTTCTAATAGACAAAAATAATCCATGCCTGTCGAGTCTTCAGATCCTTGGAAAAACTGAAAAATTTCCCCTTTCTCCATGCAGCCTGGAACATTGCATTTACGCCCATGGTTCTAGCTAATTTTCAATAGAGAAACTTCCTGCTTTTTAATATTTGTAGAAGTAAACCCAACTGTAGGATAAAAAGCTAAACTGGTGCCTTACATCTACTTCTATTCATGTTCTTGGGCCAGTTAACCTATTGGCTGGACTATATGTACATTTTGGGGTGTGACAAAAATACAGGCAAGAACCAAATAAGGCAACATCCCTGAATTGACATCAATTCGGGGCTTCGTTTGGATTCTCCCGTTTCATGGTGGAAGTTTAGAATTGTGATATTTGCAGAGAAAGGAGGAGATGATGGGGTTTGAACTTCTCCTACGTCCATTTGACCCACTTAAATATCATTATTCATCTTTAAACTCATTCTATAACCCCTTTAAATTCAGCAAATTGGGATATTTTTAATTGAAAATGTTTAAGCTTCCCACAAAATGCCTTATATAAATGCACCTTGCTGTTCTGATGTCTGCTGCTCTGATTTTACTCAGGCTGGACCATGTTAACGTGGTTGCTGCACGAGATGTTCCTGAGGGGATGCAGAGACTGGTGGCCACTAATGACCTGCCGCTACTCGCCATGGAGTACTGTCAGGGCGGAGATTTAAGAAAGGTATATAGCACAGTGTGGCTGGACCTGCATTTGGTTTGAGCTCACCAGGTCACATCTAATTTTTAATTGCTGAATAACATTGAATAATCATTTAGTAAGATTCTTACCTAATTTGTTTTCCCAGATCTTTCTTTGTGCATTTGTCTTCATATCATATCATTATGAAAATACAAAAGCTAAAAACAATACACTGCTGCTTTAGTTAACAGAACCTCAGTCTGGCTTTTTTTCTGAACAGATATGGTAACACATATGGTTTTCACCATTTCCCCAATGGGATAAAAAAAAAAAAAAAGCACTGAAATTCACAACAATTTAACCCATTACGCCAAATAACCAGAATTTTAAAACACTACAAACACAACTGATGTCTTAGGGACAAACAAAATGAGCGGTGGAGACTGTACGCAAAATAAAAATGGATTTCATTTTATCACGGTTTATAATTGACAGAGCTAAGCTGCTGACAACCACTGGAAATAATTGTTAATCTTAATAAGTCATATTTTCTCAAAATAAGTGCATTTTGTCTTGAATTTGGGAGGAAAGTGAGACTCTTTGCCAATGGAACTAAATTTGAAATAAGGAAGAAATTGTTTTATTGTCTTATTTCAAGTACATTTTATCTAATTATCTTATTTTAAGAGTAGAAAATCCCCATTCCATTGGTAAATCATCTTATTTCCCTACTCAAATTAAGTGTAAATAGACTTAATATAAGACATTTTAATTACTTCTAGATTGTTTTACATCTAGTTTCAAAGTAGGAGAGAATTCATCAGTGCCATTTTTTAAACTGAACAGCTGTCAGCTAACCCGCTAAATGTGTTTTTGACTAATATAATAAAGCAACCCAATATCTATTTCCTTTACTATTACAAAATAAGGGCTCGAATAGCCATAACAGAAATGCAAGAATAAAGCGCTCCTTTTTATACTAAAGTCCCATAATAACAATTGCTTTATTCAACTCAATCTTACCTGAAGGTTTTATCTTGACTTTCGTGAAGTTTTTTGCAAGTTTCAGAGGAAAATCGAATTTATAAATTGTTTTTCTCTTCATTTAGACCAGAGCTAAACAATTTATTTAAAGGTATAGTGGAGGATTTTCGCAAATTTTTTGAAAAGACCCACCCTCTCCGCTTTAAAAAAAAAAATAAAATGCACATGCACAACCCTATACCTAAGAATGAACACGTGTGAGAGCATGCAGGAGCCCATTTCTCCTTGTGCACACTCTGTTTAAAAGTTGCTGTTTGTTCGATCATGCAAGCTTACTTTTCAAAAGAAGATCTGCAATTTTTCCACTATGTCAGAGTCACCACTGGTAAGTGAAAATGGGGACGAGCACATAGAACGGCCTTATGTAAACATATCACCAGAATGATTGACAAGGAGGACCACTTATTTTGATGATCCACCCAGAAAAAGAACATCCTCCACTATACCTTTATGTATGCTAGAAATTACAAGCCTCATTATGCACTTTTTAATGAGGCAAACTCCTTGGTTCCAAGAATTTGTCTATGAAATGTATAAAAACACAGAGTGAATTAGTTTGCCGTGTATGCTTCTCTATAAAGATGACTACCTAAAAGGAAAAAAAGATGTTTTGGGAGAAAAGCCAATAAGTAAAAGTTTCAAAAATAACAACTGAAAAAAGAAAACTATTGAACCTTTTTTATGTGGTTTTTCCCAACACCCATGGTGTCCGGATTACAGATGTTTGTTTTTCTGCTGCAGTATCTGAACATCCTGGATAACTGCTGTGGAATGAGGGAGGGATCCATTCTCATTCTTCTACGGGACATTTGTGAGTATTAGGCTCAATTGTCAACATCAGCACTACTAATACAATGTCACAGCTCAGATTTCAGGGAGGGGAAGGGTATTTTTATAAAAGATGAGCCGAGCTGGCACAGACCGTTATATCCTTAGGTTTGAAGGAAAATAATTTTCTGCTGAGAAACACCGTGGTATCATCAGTGAGTCCAAACCCCCTGCTGTTTACTCACCATGATAGCTCCACTCATGCTGAGGCTCGCGTCAACAAATGAGACAGTCACAAACTTTGTGACTGTGTCATGCAAGTTTGACGCTAACATCGACACATAAATTGTTTGCATTTGAGTGCAGGTTGAAAAACGCAGCATGTGGGTCACAGCAGATTTAGATGGGAGTAGAGTTGTAATCACACAGGAACACAGAACCTCCTTCTCCTGCTGAAGTTTGGTGGACTTTCCCGATAATGCCTAAACAAAAGTGAACAACCCACAACCAAAGACTCAAACACACGTTTAAGTACGCGGAAGTTCTTCTTTACTGAATAATCTTTGTAAGCACACACACACTAACAACTACTGACGCACATGAGATGACTTCAGAGTTTTGGTTGCACACCTGTTAGTTTTCAGTTTCTATTCCAGGCTATAGGCTTTATTCTAGGCAGCCTTCATTCTATTCTATTGAGTCTATACATAAGTCTTTATTCTTGTCCTCATAAAAAGCAGACTAAAAGCTTGTTTTTATTACCCTCTCATAGCTTAGCTTATTGTTTATTATAAAAAATAATGAAAGAATAAGGAAATTCTGCCTAAAGCAAAAGCGAAAATGTCATAGTTGACTATTATGGATTACGTTGTACTATGCATTATCTTTTTTCATGGAATTAGATCATCAGATTATCAGATTTCCGTTCTAATAAATGGTACCAGTAGTGGTTTGTGGATCAATTAGCATCCTGTCAGCACTGAATTAAAATGCATTTTCATAGTTTTAGCCTATTTTACCAAGAATCTATTTCCACATGAAAGTACACACAGAAATCATTAATCATCTCACAGTTATCACTTCTAAATGTAACCATTTGGTATCCATGTAAAGATAAGGCATAAGAGTATTTTTTCCAGTGGGAAAACTATTGCAACTGCTACCATGTCTGGCTAATTTGTGAATAAACAAATAAAGATAATGCATATTTGAGCCTCACTTTCATTTTTTTTAAATAAGCTTAAAAACACCATGATAAAAAAAAAAATTTAAAAACACAAACCTGAGAATGACGCCTACCTCCACTTTTATAACCTCCATTACAAATGAAAATGGCAGCCCCCGTATTAACATCAGACAAAGAACTGCCATAGGTATTTTGGAAATGCAATGCTCTCTAGTTTCCAAGGATGCCAGCCATGAGGGGATGGACCAAGACAGACTTTTTTTTGAAAGACCTTTAAATTAAATCCTGTGTGTTTGAAATGCCAAAAAAATGAAAGTGTACTTGGAAAAACAAAACAAATGGCAGCTTAATGCCTTATTTTTCAAGAGATTCAGAAAAAGAAAACATGTGACCATTTTTCACCTACTTTTATAGACAGTGGAAAATATTTGTTGCTCACTTGTCCTGGTAGCGGGCAAAATGTGCTTAATTGCTTAATATGAGTCTGGTCTAAATTTTATGATTATGATTTTTTTGTCATTAAGACCAGCCATATATGAATTATCCATCCCTTCATATGCTTTGTGTACATTACAGGGGGCAAGAAATAAAATTAAATTAACCATAAAAGTTTCCAGATTCCCCCAGTTAAAAACACTGTATATAGTATTTCATTGCATTTCGAATGAAAAAAAAGGATTAGTTTAAAGGAGCCTAGCAATGCACCATACCTATGAAAAAAAAAGAGAGAAAACATCTATTTATCTTCAAATAAAACTATATTCGCCAAGTACTGGTTTCTAATAGTGTTTACTTTTTACCTTTATGAACAACATTTTTAAACCAAATAAAATCAACAGACGCAAGCATTGTTGCATGTTATCATTTGTTGGCAATACTTTCTCAGGCCATTTAGCATCTTTAGCTCCCGCTTCATTCAGCTCCCAACATTCATTCTGTATTTCAAGTGCCACTTCTCCCATATACCTTTTAGCTTACAATATTTGTTTGAGCTTTTGCATACTTAGGGTCTGATTTTCACAAGATGTGTGTGTCTTAAAACAGTTGCAAGCCTGTTTGTTTCACAAAGTAATTTATGTTTGCCGTTGAGCAGACGGCGGGTGAAAAGCTTTTGTTGCGTGTGCCTTTATCAGAATGCAAATCATAGTCTAATGACCAAACCGCACAAATCTTTGGATGGAACATTTCCAAAATCTAAAACTCAACTGAGGTTGCAGTTTTTGCATTTGTTTTAGTACTTGTGAATGTCAGATGCAAACTGATATGATCTAATTTAATTGCCTTCATTTGGAATATTTGAAGATCAGACCCTTGATGTTAAACTTTTCCACTTTTTTATCCAAACTTCCGCTGCATGTGTTTTGCTCCATGGTGCAATATCTATGGTGACGTAGAGACAACTGGAATGGAAACAAAGCAAAAAACACAGATTAACATCATAATGAAAAAAGCCTTGAATGCAAGCAGAGTAAGCTAACGGATTAAACATTTGTAAAGTGATAATACAAGATATGTGACTACTTTCAGTAGAATAATTAAACCAATATTAAATGGTGAGTAATATTTCTTAAAATCCCAAGATAAACTTTTTAAATCAATTCTATTGAACAAAAACAGTTCTCACTAAATGCACCAATTAGAGTTGGTATGTAGATAGTTTATCGTTTCTGCAGTGTGAGACAGGATTTTCCATCTCTTTTGTAACTTTTAACTGTACTTTCCAATATTTCCCAAAAGATAAATGTGTCTCCAAAATATATATATATATATATATATATATATATATATATATATATATATATATATATATATATATATATATATATATATATATATAAATCTCTTTTCCGTAGCTTCGGCTCTGACCTACCTCCACAGTAAGAGGATTATCCACAGGGACCTGAAGCCAGAAAACATTGTTCTGCAGCAGGGAGAGAAAAGGGTAAGTTAAAAGAGAAACACCCAAACCACAAGATGATTTTTGCCTCTTCTGTATGTGAGTTACAATCATAAATCTTCTCAACATGTTGATTCCTTCTCCTCAGTATTTTATGTGGAAAACTCTACTTGAGGACCTTGCTCTTCATTTTATTTATTTTAAAAACAAATCATTGCATGTTAGAATTCTGCTTAAAACAAGTTATGCAACTGAGGTCAGACTCGTTAAAGAATTTATGATCAGGTTTATTTACAATCTGTTGACCTCGTAGAAATGGAAACTAACGAAATTATTCAACTCAAGTTTATAGTTTTGCATATTTGTTTATTTCTTTTCACTTACATACAAGAAAATAGAAAAAAAGTCTAATTTCTGGGTGTGAAAGTAAAGTCTGAATTTGTTTTAAGATATTTAAACCAAACTTTAACATTTAGGTAGTTCGTATATTGTGAAATATGTTTTAGAACTACCGTAACTATGAAATATGAAACCAAAACAATTGTAAACCCTAAAATGTTGAACCATTTACAAGCAAAAACCTATTTAATTTATCTTTTTGGGGGAATCCCATTACTTTTTCAATAACTGAAAAATAATATTTACCATGCTTAAATTAACCATAGAGAGTCAAAAGAAAGCTCCTTTCTCAGCTCTGCCTGTAACCTTGTTTTTATGCAGCCATTTTTATGGGGTGTTGTCCCTCAACTTCTTTCCTGTGTTTTCTGTGGGATGTGCCTCTTCTGAGATTATTGTTCATTATTGTGGCTTTGCACCAACATACAGACAGAAAGCATTACAGTCGGTAATAAAAGAAGCATGTCGCCATTTGAGGGACAATGCAGTACTCAGGGGTAGGCAAGTGACAAAGAAAACAAAGTGATAAAAAAAATGCCTCACTTATACTTCTATTCTCATATATTCTGTCTACATCATTAAAGGCAATGATAATCTACAGCCCAAAGACCTTTTATCAAATAAACCTTTGACTTCCTGTTCAGGTACACCCTGGACAGGTCGCCAGTCTGTCGCAGGGTAACACAGAGATGCACACCTAAGGACAATCTAGAGATGCCAATCAACTTAATAATCAGTCATGTTCCACCTTTTACACTACCCTTGAAAAACAGATCCTCGCTGAGACTGGTCCGAGCTCGGATCAGTTAACCAGGCCGAGCTCGGTTCTGACGGCCGTTTACACATCACGCTATCTCGGTTCCTCGACTCCTCGCCTCCTAGTGATCTGCCGTATTACTGCCAGTATTGAAGGAGGAAATCAAGCAGTTGGTGGCGGTAATGCACCAAAAGTTGTTTGCCGACCGCCATAAAACACAAGAAGAAGAAGACGATGAAGGAGGGAATCAAGCAAATCAAAATTGCGGCGCCCGTCACATTCAGAAAGTTATGCTTGATTATTGTTGCTGTACTTCAGTGCTATTATTTAAAATGCCATTATTTAAAATGCTGCGTGGAGAAGATTTTGATTGTTGTTTATAGTTTTTCTTCTTCTGTTTTGTGTTGGTTGGCAAGCAACTTCCGGAGGGGCATTACCGCCAACTACTGGAATGGAGTGTGAATCGGGATGTGCAGCCAGACGGAGATGACGCGTTCTGCTCATGCGCTCTTGTTATCAGAGAACCGAGCCAGGGAAAAACCGAGCCGAGCCCACCTCTGGAACTGGTCTGCAGTTAGCGCGGTTTGGTTGTGTCTAGCTCGGTTCAGTTCAGTTTGCTTTATATTTACACACGATAAGTTATCTTAGTTACTGAGCTCGGACCGGTCTCGGCACGGTTTTTCAAGGGTAGTGTAAATGGGGTAATGGTTTTGGACTGTGGGAGGAAGCCGGAGTACCCAGAGGGAAACCCACACATGCACAGGGAGAACCTGCAAACTTCATGCAGAAAGACCCTGGGCCAGGAATCCTTCTTGCTTCAAGGCTCCAAACTGAACCACCATCTAAGCCAGTGTTATTTGAACCTGTTTACACTATGGGCTACCACTGCAAAAAAAAAGGGAGGTGATTACCTCAACAACAGTGGAATAATTAGTCACATTGAATTTTTTATATTTGGAAATAAAAAGAGAAATACGTCCCAAGAAATATGTATTTGATTTGTTTTTAATGACTCAAAAGACAAAAAAAAGATCAGTGCCTCCTTTGAAAGGTCTCTATCTTCTTGATTACTTCTCCTGCTTATGAGAATGATTTACTTTTCTCTTTTAGGAATTTCTAAGGTCTACAATTTCTGCATATTGTTTTTTTTGAAGTACAGATAGGGTTATGTAATTATCTTTCAAATTAACTTCAGCAACAACCAACCATCCTTATTATATATTTAGAAAGAATGTAAAAAAACAAACTGCTGAAAAGATATGTCCATATATTTTTAAGGAGATGGTCCGCTTGCTTTATGTTGGGAAGTCAATGTCATTCATTAATATTATCAATAAATGATATTAATTTATTTTAATTGATAAAAAGTTGCAACGAATTTATGCATTTAATATTTCAAGATAATCAATGATAAATTAACTGAATTTAAAGAGCACTGTAGATTTATATTGATCACTCAAGCATTTTACATCTGAGCTTTATTCACCTAATCGCACCTGGGCCCTTGTTACCTTTAATAACAGAAATAGGTCTATGTTGCTGGATAAAAAAATGATAATAATGCTATAGTCTCCATCCATCCATCCATCCATCCATCCATCCATCCATCCATCCATCCATCCATCCATCCATCCATCC